TATTAAATCAAAATCACCATTTAAAATATATGCACAAGTCTTTTATCAATAAAACCATGCATATGCTTAAAACAAAGTCCACTCACAAATAATCCCAAGCTGCCCGGCCCCGAGAAGGTCCTGCCTGCTGCGAATGATCTACCGAAGTACCTATTTCGATATACGAACTCTTGATTAAAATAACGCACTTCAAAAATATAAATTCACAAAAGGAATTACTTAAATCCCCAAGTTCTCGGTGCGTGTACGTCCAATGGAATATCCTAAGGTCCGGTTACAGGTTTGGGAATCGCTTCCAATCGTACGGTTATCGCGAATTCCCAAACTTCAAATTATTGAATCGGAACATCCGGGGCTCCGATTCACGATCCGCGAATTCCTATAGGTTTCTAAGAGCACCTAGATCTACATTCTTCAGTTTGGAAACGATCCGACGGTTAGAACTCATCGAACCCGGATAACGCACAATATGCGAAATCCGTTCGATAGTCAAACGACATCCAAATTGAGATCCGCAAAATCCTACGCACTTGTGGCAACCTAAGGATCTCATCAAGATAAAAAGCAACTTCACCAGCCTTGCCCACGAGCCGCCACACGCGCTTGCAGCGCGTGGGTGTGTAGAGAAATTTCCGGCGACGGAAAATCTCCAAATCACAAGCCACCCTTCCAATCCTAGATACTACTCGACGAATGGAGCATCTTTTTCAACTACGGCAACGTCCAATTCGGACGGCAAGTGGCCGGAATTTCACATTGAAAACCGGCCAAAACCTAACTTCCAAAATCGAGATTCTAAACCGCAAATCGATCAATTCCTATGCAATAGCCAGCTAGAACTCAGAAAATGGATGAGAAACCTCACCTTACCCGTCGGAAATGGTGGTTGGAGGAGAGAGATCGAGCAGTGTGAAGTTCCTGTCAATTCCGGCAACTTTTCTGCATTTTCCGACGAGCACAGTGGACGGTGATGGCTGAAACTGGTCGGGAAAGGACGAGGGAGAGCTGGCGGTTCAGACGAGACCGGTCACGGGGGGGGGCGTGGGGTGTAGAGGGGGGGGACCGGCGGGATCTGGTTTTACCCCAAACTCTTTTCAAATTAATTACGGTTCTGCCATCGAGCTTATTTTGATCGCCAAAACTTCGTTAAATCTCCGATTCAAGCCTACCGCTTGTCTACGGTTTCGTCTCAGTACTACCTACGCAACCCAACCACTCGTGGTCCCAAAATCTTCCCGGATCAGAAAATGACCAAAATTACCCTTAACCCAAGAGTAAATTAATAATTTCTCTTAATTTAATTAAAATAGGAAAATAATTGGAGTCGGGGTGTTACAATAATCCACGACATGTTCATCTATATATAATTCATAGCTTGTATATGATTCGTTCTTATATCTTGTAAGGATCTGCCACTACTTCATATCTTCTATACGATTCATTCTTATAATCTATTCTCATAGGCATCTTGTATGCATTCTACAAATGAATACAACTCAATAACCTCAATTATCTTAAGCTCTACCAATCATGATATGTAACGTATAGGGTCGTGGTTAGCCACTAGGTTATAGATTGCCCTTTAGTCAATGCTTTTATGAATCTGGTATTCCATTTTAGATTAGTATGTTTCTTTTTTACTTGTTTTGATAATCTGGTCATATGTTCTTTTTATGTAAGGGTCATCACCAATGAGAACAGGAATGTAACATTTCAATGGAAGTTAAAAGGTTTCTTGCACTTTAAGAGTAGTGAATTGTCAGCGCTTTTGGTCTTCGTGTTTCAGTTGAATACTCTGATTAACTTATACATGTCAAACCACAAAAATGTTAATGTATATAGTTGAATATGAATGCAGAGGACAATTGATTGGTCTGATCCGGAAACGAGAAAGAAGGCACCCAAAATACGGGCTATGGCTGAGCAGAAACTCAATCATCTTTGGAAGAAACACAAGGCCAATCTAAAAAAGAATTGGTATAATCCTTTTTTGAATTCAGAGGAGCGATGGAATTGCACTGATGACGGGGTTAGCAAAGAACAGTGGAGGTTATTGGTGCAATATTGGGAGACTGGTCCAGCGCAGGTAAAACATGAAATATGTCTTTGGTTTTTGTTTTTTAAAATGGTCAATTGTTTGACGCTGTATAAAATATTCATACAAAAACGATCGATCACAAATAAATGTAATCGTGCAAAGCGCAGGATGCACCACACAACAAGGACAAAATCATATGCTCAAGTGAGGAATCAATATGTAAGTGTCACAGTTTTTCTAGTCAATTAATGTGGAGCATGTTATCATATTGTATGTCTGCTTATGCAAGTTCTCATAATGTTTTGATAGTATATAAATGATAAAAACATAGAACAGCTAGTATATACTTTCAATTTTTTAATTAATGGGCCACGAGCAAGTGATTTTGTGGATGGTTTAAGAAAAACTTCTTTTAGGTACTCATGCTATGATTTAAAATAATATTTGATATGTGAACTGCATGGTGGATTTTAGAAGGTGAATCACAGGGGTGTCTCCCCTGACAGATGCAAAATGTTTGAACTATGCCACCTAAGAAAGAATGGAACACCTGTGAATGAGAGAGCTGCAAAAGCTATGGTGAGGCAATTTGATTGTATTTTAGGATCTGTTGTCTTGTGCTGTTTGTTACAGAGGCATCCTTGTAATAGAATGCACAGTTAACATATATATATATATATATATATATTCTTTGTGATTACTTCATGCAGGAATGTAGGCCCTGTGTTCAAAGTTTGAAAAATATGGTTCTCAATTATGGTATGTGGACCATGCAGTACCATTATGCATTTTGTTAACATCATGCTTATCAATATATATGTGTTTTGGTATTATGAAATTCATAATACCAAAATACATGTTAGTTTGGTATTTTGATCATAATTGCTTCATTGGTACTAGGGTATGCCGTTTCCTTGTTGAAGACCAAGCTCAAGTGGGTTGAAATTAGTTATTTTGAAAGTAGATCCCAAATGATTGTATATTTAGTTACTAGTGACTTAATATTTTGGGAGGTTTAATCCTCCATATGTGTAAATTGTAATGAAAATTATGAAATCAAAGTTAATATATTTATGAAATGTTTACTGTACTAGAGGAAATTGCAATGAAAGTCAATATCTTTATTAATTTGTTTATTGAATTTTAATGAAATTACAATAAACACCATACATTAATAAAAACAATAATTTTATTAATTAATTATTAAAAATTGATGTACAAATAGAAATTGTAATTTTTTTTAATAATTCTAATACACAGATATAGATTTAAGTAACAAAAATGTATTGTCAATTTGTTGAATTTGATGGGCCCCATTGTACTTAAATACTATTAACAATCAAATACGTAATATGAAGTTGATTGGATAGTCAAATAAATAATAAAATATTGTAAATTAAAGTTGATTGGAAAGATAATGGGCCCCACATGCTGTTAAGAGTCAATTTCCACAATGTCACGAATGTTGTTATATCGGTGACAATAGCCTTTAGTAACGTCTTCATATGTAATGAAGCCCACAATTGTAACTACATGGTGACTATTACTTTTACTCACTAAAAAAGGTGACTAAAGATGTCAACAGTCACCAATAAAATGGTAACCATTGTTGACTTTTTTTGTAGTAAGAGTGCAAAGCCTCACCTGGATAACAGTTGGTGAATCGCAAGCATGAACCAGAGGCAAATATGAATGGGATACTGTGGGTTTACGAATGAGGAGGGAGAGAAGAAAAGCATGAACCAGAGACTGGGTTTACGAATGAGATGGCTGAAGCAAAAATCCTACCTCAAAAAGCAAAAGTCCTAACTCAAATAAATTAGGAAACTAAAAACCTAACCCAAATAAATTAGGAAACGAAAAACCTAACCCAAATAAATTAAGAAACCAAAAACCTAACCCAAATAAATTAGGAAATTAAAATTTTAAAAAAACATGGGCGTATTCAATTTGGATGAAATCGTAACTCTTTGTTTTCTTTAAAATTGCACCAAAAAATTTCATACGTTCCAAGGGGAATGGGCTTCGGACAGTCAAACCATTAAACTGGATGAGTATGAAGTAGCATTAGACAAAAATCCTAACTCAAATAAACTAGGAAACTAAAAACCTAACCCAAATAAATTAGGAAACTAAAAACCCCTTCTTTTCATACCTTTTTTTCTATTAAGGAGAGAACTATACGCTAAGGAGTTGGCATATATTAAATTGTAATTATATCCCAAGTCTTCTGTTTTATAGTATCCAGGCTTTCTTTTTGTCCTGGATAGGATTGAGACTGACTATACCAACAAAGGAAAAGAAAGAACAATGTATTGAAAGCACCCGAATTTAAATTTTATTTTGAGATTTTCTATTTAAACCCCGCACTTCTCTTTGTTCACCCAAATACTTAAATCATTAAGCTGTAAGTTTTATTAGTGTATAAAAAGACAAAAAAGGTCATCCAACTTAATAATTAACCCTAGTACATCTATACACACACTCCCACACACCCCACCACTCTTTATATTAAGTTTTAAAAACCTCCTTCCAACTTCTTGTTTACAAACTCTCTTTTTCTCTCTCTCTCTCTCAACTCAACAATACCCAAGTGTTAGAATTCCAGTTATAGTTCTTAGAGAGAGGTAAAGTTGTTCTCTTTCTCTAGAAAATATTAAATTTCAGATTTGGGGTTTCATTTGTTTGTGTTTTTTTTTTTTTTGCTGAGAACAAAGAAAATTGTGGGATTTAAATAGAAAATCTCTTTTAGTTTTTATTTTTTTAGTTTGGGGTGTATTTAAGGGTAGTTTGGGAAGATAGTGGGGTTTTCTTAGAAATTGTGAAAATTTAAATTAAAAGTTGGGGTGAACTTAGAACATGGGGTGAACTAAGAGAAGTGTGGGGTTTAAATAGAAAATCTCTTTTATTTTTCGTACAAACTTAAGTGAACAAATACGAAAACAATGAAAAGATCATCAAGGCTCCAGCAATAATGTTCATCTAAGAATCACAAGGAGGAGGCCTTTTGTTATTTAATTTTCCTTTTTGGTACTAATTAAATGACAGACGGATTCAGAGAAGCATATGCAAGCAGTTCCTTATTGCTTTCAAATATAGCCATGACTTCTTCATTCAAAGTCAAGGACGCTTCTACGCCATCCCCATCTCTTGTATCTGTCAACACAATCATATTCTTGAATTCCATACACTGAGTCACCCACAATGGCTTTCCCCATCCGAAATCGACTGTGTAGAAAGGAAACCTGCACCAACTGCTGCAACTGTAGGCGTCCCCATCACTCCCATCCATGAGGCTCCCAAACTCTTGGAAGAATTCACATGGATCATCCCCGCTAACACCATTAGAATATCTCACTTTAAACTCCTCAATGCCTTTTCTGAGTTTAGCAGCCAACCTTTGAACATCTTCATCATTATCATCTTCACTTACTTCGGTTTTTGCTGCGAAGACGCCGAAAAAATTCCCCTCAAATTTTTCTGCTAAGGGCTGCACCAATACTTTCCGCATGTTCACGAATGGAAGCCACGCTGATGGCCTTATAGAACCCAATTTGGATCGTGATGATTCAGTGGCACACTTCCAAATGAGCGCGGACAATACTTCAACACGTGTAGGCTTTGGCAGGATGGCGGTGGCAGCTTTACACTTGAGAGCAGCAATCTTTGAGGCATCAAACACAATTCTTCTTGTTGTCCACTTTTCTTTAGCAAATTCCACTGTGGGTAGAGGTGAGTTGAGAAAACCTAGTGGTGGGAGAAGAGAAGCTGCAGCACCAAAATCTGCTGCAGGAATTACTACTTGATCAGTAGTACTGACTGAGCCCAGGGAAGCTGCAGCCCAGCTAGTAATGAATTTGCTGATCGTAGACGCATCAGCAACCTTATGACTAATGCAGACTCCGATTGCCATTCCACCACATTCGAAGAAGTTGGCCTGGACTTGTACAAGATAGCTTGGGTCTGCTAGTCTGGATCCCATATCAGCTGGAAGCAATTGTTTTAGCATCCCAAAATCTGGTTTCTCCAAAATCTTTGACATGGGCCAGTTGACTTGGGCCTCAAGAAATGCAGCCCCGTGGTCATTGCAACGGATTGAATCATTGCATTGGTACTTTCCTGCAAAGGGATAGAAGTGAGTGAGGGTTTCAGATAATGATGTTTTTAGAAGCTCACATATTTCATCAATATCATGGTCACTATTAGTATTGTTGGGATAGAAGAGAAGTATTGGGACATAAACATCTGGAATAAGCTGATCAAAGACAGAGAGGTTTGTAGTTTTGAGGTGTTGGGGAGTTGGAGAGGAAGGTGGAATTTTTTCCTTGTGAAGTACTTCAACCCTAATCCCTAAACCCATCTTGCTCCACACTTGTGTTTCATAACAATCACCATCACCTCCATATATAAAGACACATTACAAGATTCCCCGATGCAATGTGAAACTGAAGTAGTTTATTATATGCCCCACATGATACATACATATGGGACAATAAAGAAACATATAATCCATATCCTCAACGTTGCAACTTGAGTTCCACACTTGTGTATTTTTAGTTTATCATATATGCCATATGCTACAAAGATGACATTAACTTAAGAAACACATCAAATTGAATCCTCTGTGTTCTGTGCATATATCAACTTTGAAAACCATTAAACATTCATGATCCAAGTCATGCTAACGTGTACAGTAGATTGGATTAATGGGCAGATAATGCCTTGTACTTAGATTTCTTCAGTTGAACGAGTAGGAGGGATGCATATATTTAATAATAATATAATAATAATAAAGTAACGTGCTATTGCTAATAATTAAACAAGCCCTCTAGATTGATTATGATCCCATTTTGAAATAACCAGGCCAATTGAAAATTTCAAAGCTCATTTCAGAACAAAAGATTCTAATTTTTTATCAGTAATAATAACAATAATAACAATACAAGACAAGAAATATAATTTCAAGGCTCATTTGGGATTGCTTCTAAAGTAAGCACTCCGGCTCATAAGCTCTAAAAAAGGACTCTTGAAGAAGCACTGGCAAATGAGCCCTGAAATTATAGGTTGTACCAGCTAGTGACTGTTGGCGTGACTTGTGAATATTGACATACTTTCCTTACACACCAAGAATTCCTATTACAATTGTAATTGATTTACTTTAATTCATGATTTCCTACTATAAATATGACAGGACCAGCCCTGGAATTTCCCCCGAAACCAGGGCGGACCCCGTCTTGGTGCCAACATCTCCCCGATGCCGGGCCCACTTACTAAAACCCGAGACATCCTACCAAAATTTTGGCAGAGTCTCCCCTGTAAAATGCTCAAACCCAACAACATTCAACCTGCATAATTTACATCATATAAATCCCAACTGCCAGCATGCTTTCAACATACAACAATTCAAACTAAAGTGGCCTCCGGCCTCAAGTAACAACCTAACATGGGCGATAACAGAGCATCTAATAGAATTAGTTTACAACAGACAGTTGAGTAGAAGGAATTTACACAAGTCCTATCTACAGATGGAATGTTTTGAGCTCGTACTCTGCTTGAACGCTTCCAAGAGCAACTACTGTCTGGGGGGCGCAAAACAGAAATATGTGAGTGGACAAAAATAAAGTTTGCATTTAAAACAACATAATAACCCCACCGTGTAAAAATAATGCTCAAGCATGCAGTTTCACAATCCATAAACCAAATATTC